ACTTACAATTACATAAGAAAATATATTTTTTTTTTATTATTTTTTTAAAAAAAGTATGACACCTTAAAAAAAAATATTTTTTTATCTTTTAAGGACAAAGATGGAGAGTATTTGGCTTTTTTAAAGAAAGATTAAAAATGCAATGCAAAATATGGTACGCACGGGATGTTATGTAAATTAATAACAATATTAACTAACCTAATTAATGTTTTATATTAATTAATAAAAAATGAAAGATTTAATTTATATCCTAATTTAAAAAAATAAAAATATGTAAAATTCTCCTTATATGAACTTTATTAATTTGTTTGTTAGATACTAGCAATAACATTGAATGGTTAATTAATAAATAACTGACTTGAAAAAGAAATTTAAAAAAAAAAAGTTGTATTCTTAAAGATTTATTTTTCCATTCTAACATTAACTCAATAAACCATTTTTCTTTTTTCCATTTTTCTATTTCTTCTTTTTTATTCTCTGATATAACATTCCAACTTCTTTCTCTTTCTATTTTATCTAATATGTTTGTTTCTTCGTCCAAATTTTTATATATTTTTATCTCTTCCATATTTGCCTTAAAAAATTCTTCTTCTTTTTCCCACTCTTCTTTCGTACATTCCTCTAATACCATCATATGAATATCTAACAAAATTCTCCTTTCCAAATTTTTCTTCATTTCATTTTTATCTATTCCATTATTTCTTTCTTTCTCTATTTTTTCTTCCTTTAAATTTTTATCAATTTCTTCTTTTTCATATTCTTCTAGCAATTGTACAAACCATTTCTGATTTTTGTATTCGTATGAATGCTCTATTTGCCATTCTATCCATTTCTTCCATATTTTTTTTTTTTTATCTAGCATAAAATTATTTACTCCCATTTCTGTCATTTTTTCAATTTCTTGTTCATCTAAATATCCTAAGTATTTTTCTTGTTCTTCTTTCCACTCTTTCTTCAAATTAATAAACCACTTTTCATTTTTATATTTCTCTAATATACTACTTTTTTTAACTATTTTATCGTTACTATTTTCTTCTTTAATTTTCATTATAAAATGATTTCGCATTTCTTTTAAATTAGAATTTTCTCCATCTTTTTCTATCTCTTCTAAACAAATATTAAAAAATTCTGTTTTATTCAATTTCCATTCCTCTTTTTTACACTCTAGCAATGCAGTCATATGTATATCTACCCATGAATTCCAATTACATACATCATTCTTGATTGACGTTTTATTTCCTAAATTTTTCATTTCAATTTCACATGTAGATTTTTCCTTTTGCGAATTTATTTCATTTGCTTTTTCCTCATTTAATGTGCCATTCCTAATATGATATACAATATGAACAGGATCTTTTTCTAATATATTTTTATTATATTCATCTTTATTTTCACTACTAGGTTCATTTCCACTCAATTCTTCTTTTTTAATTTCACTTTTAGGATTATCTGTATTTAATTTTTCTTCACCTATAAATTTATTTTCATGCATATTTGACCCTTCTTCTTTATCATCACAAATGCGTATATTTCCTTTTTCATTGTATATTCCTTTAAGTTCTTTGGATTTTCCCATTTGCTCATGTTTCGAATTTCTTTCACTTTCAAAACTAACCTCACATGATGGTATTTGTTTTTCGTGCTGTAACAAAGAGTGATTTCCACTATTCATTGTTCCATCCTCTATATTATTTGTAGATAATGGCATTGGTTTCTTTGAAATTTTTTTTATCTTTTTTCTTATTTTTTTTTTCTTTGATTTTCGATTACGAATCCAAGATCCAATAGGAGTGCACTAAAATTTAAATTAAAACAATTAAAGAAAATTTAGTAATAATGATATTAGTATCTTATATATATTTGTTTTTGAGTTTTTAATTAATAATTTTATCTTACTCTATATATAATAATTAAAAGGAGAACAATTCCTAAAATAAATATACCTACTGAAACGCCTGTTATTAGTACTTTTCCTATGGGTTTAACAGTAGGGGTAGCTTCAGTATTATTATCCAGTGGAGTTTGTGCGGTAGTAATATTTGGAACATTCATATTTTTAGGACAAATGCCCGAACAATTTGATAATGTATCATTTTGAGCTGCGCTTAAAGGTAATATATTATGTTGAGCAATAGGAGTAAGTGTATTTTGTGAACTTTGTGTTGGGGGATAGATTTTTCCAATTAATTGCATATCATTATTTGTTCTATTAGATTCAATTGTATTATTAGGAGATGCATTGTTATCTGAAGGCGCTAAAGATTTAAATGAGGATGGAGACACAGTATCATTTTTGGGAAGTGTAGCTTTAATTATAGGAGCATGTACCTCCACAGGAGATTTAGAATGAGGTGCCTCAGATGATGATTCATTTACAAAAGGTGCAGTATCATTAGAATTAATTTCAGTAACAGTTATAGGTTGTGCACTGCTAGGAGTGGGAGATTCGGGCATATCCATAGCAGGTGATGGATGGTTATTTGTAGAATGTGTACCATTGAATGAAGAAGCATCATCATCAGTTGTAGAATTAGTAAGCCCATCAATAGGGGATGCAGAAATTCCTGAGGAAGATGAACTGCTATCTGCAGAAAACATGTTTGTATGAGATAGTGTAGTTTCAGGAGAAGGTACACTTGTTGAAGTCGTAGTATTACTTTCAGGAGATTCAACGATAGTGGTAGGAAGTATAGAGTTATCATCTGTAGAAGGTAAAATTGTAGTTTCATTCATAGACGAGTTATGTTCATTTGTGCTATTTGAAGTTAAAGAAATGGGTTGTGTTGGATCTTCTAGAGGAACAGGAGCTGCAGCTTTTGCAGCCTTTTCAGCTTTTTCAGCCATTTCAAATTTATCTTTATCATCCCATGATGATATAGCATTTAGGGTAACATTTTTAGAATCTCTAAAACCGCCCATTTTAGCTTTTCTTTCATCATCTAATGGATCTACATCATTCCTAAAATGTGGTGTGTCAGAAATTTCCATTGTAGATTCTGTAATAGTTGGTAAGGGAGTTGTAGGATATAAAGATCCATTAGAATTATCCTGCTTATCTGAAGGAATCCAAGATATATCATATCGTTCAGTTGTATTCTCTCTCTTTTTAATTTCATAAATTAGTGATGTCATATTACATCGATTACCTGTGTCATTTAATATACTATTTTGCTTATTAGTGCTATAAGCATTCCAAATATTAGTAGAATCTTTTCTAAAAGATTCTTCCAAGTAAAACTCATAGTAGTTCATGTTAACAAATTGTCTTCCTCTCTTATATATATACATACTCCACTTTCCACAATTAAGTTGACTTTCATCACGTTCATATACTTTATAATAGTAATTAGATATATCACTAGTAATATTAGTAAACTTAGTAAGTCTATCATAAATAATTCTAGTTTTATTTGCTTGATATTGATCCTCCTTGAGTTGATCATTCGTTAATGATATTAACCCAGGTATATCACTATCTTTATAAGGACTGGTGCAATCATCATTTTTATTCAAAACAGCACAATAATCAAAATTTTTCAAATTGCATGATGAATTTGTTTTATCATGTATTTGCGTCTCGAAAGAACTTTGTTTTTTATTCCAACAATCAACAAGACTTGAGACATTATGATTTTTATCTTCATTTAATACTAAATTAACAAAGTCCATTCCTCTCCAATTTACATATGAGGATGACTTTTGACATTTATCTGTAGGATTATTAATTTCGTTGTCATTGAGATAAAAATTAAGTTCATTATTAGTATCTTCCATAAATGTTTTAATTTCTATATTGAGTTGACTTCTTTCGCTAGAGTTATCTCCATTTTCTTCTGTTTCATTATTTTGTCCATCTAATATACAGGAAGTTTCTTCTGCTTGTGATAAATATCTTGCTTTCTTTAAGATTGATTTTTTTCTCATGATTATAATATCATCATAAAAGGCTTTCTCAAAATATTTTGCAGTAGTATTCAAAAATTGATTTATTAAAGAAAAGAAATTTTTATGTGAATTATAGATAAATGCATAAATTTCACCAAAAACAAAAAGTAATGTATATGTATGTATTTTATACTTTAAATATATGAAACGTAAAAAAAATATTCGTTAATCCAATTAAGGAAGAAAAATAATTTAATTTGACCAAAAAATTGAATATAGATATTTTTATTATTTTTTAGCATCATTATACACTTGAATTACATTGGGAAATTATTATAATTTCTACATAGAAATGACAATACTTGTACTTATATGATAACTATATTATAAATTTGTTTATATTTGAAATTGGCATTTTATATGGTATAAGATATTAATTTAGAATATAGGGAATTTTTTGTTTGCCTTTTGTTTTGAATATTAAATTTTTAATTTCATGTAACAATAATGTTATTAGTTTTCAAATAACAAGAAAAAATATAATTAATAAAACAAAAGTTTAATTTATAAAATTAAAATTAAGAAAAAAAAAAAATAAAATAATTGATATAGTAAAACATCATTTATGTTATGAAATTATAATTAAAAAAAAAAAATTAGTATAAAAAAAATAAATTATTTTAAGTGTTTTTTCTGTGTTTTCTTAAATTTTTTATATAATCATGATTATGGATGTAAGTTTGAAATAATGATATGATTATTAAATTTTTGTATTTTGAATAAAGAATTTAATTATTATATAATATTTTTACAGCATTTTTTTTTTTGAATAGTAAATTTATATAATTAAAGAAGTAAAATATAGTTTATATACATATAATATAATTCACTTAATAACTTATAATTCTTATTATAAAGGATCTAAATAATATTTTTATAAAATATAAAATACGTAAAAAAAAAAAAACATATATATATATATACATGTAAATTCTATAAGTGGTAGTTATAATATAATATTTTAATTATTCATATATATTTTCATAAAAAGAATATTTTAAGTTTAATAGAAAAATGACTTACAATTATAAAAATCTATATTGTTTGTTGTTAAATTATTAAACTTTAAACGCAGATTAAAGTTATTCCAATTTTTTTTTATTTTAATATTTAAATTTTTGTTAACAAATTAGTGCATTATAATTTAGTTATATTTTTGAAGAAATATATATATATATAAAAAAAAAAAAAAAGCTAAAATTAAAGTTAATAAGTAATGCACTTATTTTTTCATTATAACCATATTAATCTTTTTGTTTTTTTATTAAGCGATTTTTATTTGGTAATATATGTATATATATGTACTTGACATTCTTTGAGATATTATTTTATTATTTTAGAATTTTTCATTATGAATACAAGAAAATTTAAATTCTTTTCTGATTATTTTTTTTAAAATATATCTTATAATGTTTTTAGAAAATAAAAATAACAATAGTTTATTAAAAAAAATTTCTTAGAAACAAGATATCATAACATTGAAAAAAAAAATGAATGAAAATTGTGAGATAAATTTATGAAACTTCATTTTTCTGGATAAAAAACAATAAAAAAAAAAAAAAAATAAAATTTATCATTTTGTTCGATTTGTTTTTTTTTTTATATTTATATTTTTACAATATAAATTACAATGAATGATTTACTGAGAAAGTCTGTGAGAAAAGTAAATGTTTTTTTTTTTTTTTTTAGCATTTAATATGATTTTTATGGGAGTTGATTATTTTTTTCGCAAGAATATTATAGGTGAAACCTATTTTTTTATGAATATTTATGATTATATTTATAGTTTTTCATTATTAAAAATTTAATAATTATTTACCATTTTTTATAATTTTTTTTATTTTTATTTATTTATATTATTAAGTTGATATTATGATTAAGAATGAATAAGTATATTAAAAAAAAAAAGAGAAGATAACAGATTAATTATTTGAATATTATGGCATGGTATGAATTTTATAAAAATTTTATTGTTGAATTTTAGAAAATTTATTTGGAATATGCAAGTTGTGACGAAAAGGGTGAAGGTTATGTTTATTGAGTAAAAATTTATTAAGTTTTTAGTTATTAGAAGTTTGTTGGTTTAAATTTTTTGTATCTTTATTTGTTGAGTATGGATTAATTTAATTCTGGTTATCGTTATATATTTAATACTTATTTTTAAGATTATTTATTTTAAAGAAAACAATTTTATTTTTATTTATTATACATTTGTGCATGTTTTATTAACTGGGTGTTCGGTAACTTTATTAGAGTACTGAACAAACGAATTAATGAAGAGCATATAGGGTTGCGTCTACGGTTTTGATGTATTTGTATATATTTTATATGCTTTGAATGAGTGATCCTTATTTACGTAATATACTTCATTCATCATTCTTTAATTTCAATAGATATTTATTTACTTTAATAAAAATCTTTATTCTTATTAAAAATTTAAATACTTATTGAACATTAATTATTAATTAATTGTAAATTACTAGTTATTTATTATGAGTTACATTCAGCAATTAATATATTTCTGTTGAATTAACAAACATAAGCAATTAGTAAAAACGCAAATAAATTATATGAATATTAATTACATGAAAATTTCATTTTTATATGTATAAAACTTTCTCTTACAAAATTCATTAAAATCATAATTTATTCCCAAAAAAAAAAATGTTTTTTTTTCTTTTTTTTTTTTATATTTATTTATTGGTAACAATTATTTTTCTAATTGACTTTTAATCAATTTTTTTTCCTGACGATATTTGTATTTTTTTTTTTTTATCAAAATTTTTCCTGACAGTCTTTGTACTTTTTTTTTAAAAAAAAGTACAAACAAAAAAAAAATCATCAATTTTTTTTTTGTGTGTATATGTATGACGTACTTCGTACTCTTCATTTAACTAGTCTTTTTATTTTCCAAAATGGTTAATAAAGATTTTTATTAACCATACTCCATCACCGTGGGAAGGTAATTGTTATTACTTAAAGTTTGTTATATTTGGCTTGTCTTATTACATCAAGTCCTTTTTGTACTACATTTTCAATTTGCTTGTCCTGATTATCGTTGATATCATACATTATAATGCTACTAGTTTATGAATATATAGGTAATCTTCAGACTTTAAATCATGTGTTAGATTTAATTTCCTTTTATTCTTATTTCTAACTTGTATTAAATTGTGAAGTTTCCTTTCATATATCTCCCTGGTTTTTTTACTCAACAATTTTATTTTTGACATTGGAATTTGTACTTCTTTACCTCTATAATATATAGGTAATGCTTTCAGAATTCTGCTTTCAATTTTAGTTACTCTGTGAGGAAATGACCAATATGATTTATATTGTATATTTCTACTATAGTGTTTCATTTTATTCCTTTCGTATTCCGATAATTCGTATGAGATAATATCTCGAACCTTAATATTCTTATTCTCAATTATAGGTTTTCTTTTGATTTCATTACATCTTCATGTATGTTTTTCCATTTATCGTTTAAGTATATAATCCTCATTTCAGAAGTTGTTTCTCGTACTAATTTTGCAAACCCTGGACAGATACAATCTATGCAAAACATAGCAAAATAGGGTGTTTCTCCTATAGCTCCATGAGGTGTATTATTATATATTAGTACTGCATTTTGTACTATTTCTTCAAAAGGTAGATCTTTTTCTTCATATAAAGCTTTAATGATATAATCTAAGCTTTTATGAGAGCTTTCATTTATACCGTTTCCTTGTGGATAATATGCGCTGGTATGATACAATTTAACCTGTATTTCTTTTGTAGCATAGTCATGAAATTCTTGACTAGTATAAATTGAACCGCGATCTGTTAAAATGCTTATAGGGCATCCAAATATGGGTACCCATGTTTTCTTTATAATTTTAATTGCGTCCATAGCATTAGGTGTTTTATTAGTTATATCAGTTACCATAAAACGTGAATGATGATTTATTGCTACTTGTATATAGTATTCTGTACCTTTCCATGTTTTAGGTCATATAATATCTAATGAAACCATATCAAACACATTTGGTTTTGATAAAGCTTGGTTATTATTAGGTTTAAATTTCCTATTACGCATTACTTGACAAACTAAACAATTTGTAACGTATTCATCAATAACTTTACTAATATTGGACCACCAAAAATGTTTTTGTATTTTCTTTAGTGTTTTATTTACTCCACATTGTCTTGCGAATTTACTACTATGAAACTAATACATTAAATGATTTCTTTATTTTTCTAATATATATAATACTCCTGTTCTGTAGTGAAATGGGAAATCATCCTTCCATAATACGTCTCTCGGTATGTTATCTTTATCATTTCTTGCTTCATTTACTATTTCCTCGCAAGAAGGTATAACATATAAATCTTCATACAATTCTTGAGGTTTACTACAATATAAGGTCATGTAATTAGGAAGATCTGTTTCATCTTCTATTTACATAGTGATCCAATCAGCTAAGTTATTTTGAACTCCTTCAATATGTTCAAATTCTGAGTTAAATTCAGATAGTCTTAACTTCCATTGATTTAATTTTCCAGTATTAATTGAATCCATTCCAATAATACCTTTACAATATATTTGAATTAAGGTCTTAGATCCTTTAATATAATAATAGAATGTTTCGCATGCTACTACTATAGCAAATAATTCTTTTTCAACCGTACTCCATCTTTGTTGTACTTCATTTATATTCTTCGTTGTGTAATGAATGAATCTAGTTTGACATGTGTCCTCATAAACTTGGTTCAATACAGCTTCTATTGAATAATCTAATGCATCAGTATAAATAGTATAGGGTTTTCCTAATTCTAGGTATGAAAGATAAGTAATTCTGTCATTTTATTCACAATTTGCTCAAAAGCCTTTGAATGCTCTTCTTTTCATTCAAATTTCTGTTTCTTAGTTAACAATGGAACGAGTTTAGAAGTCCACTCTGAAAAATCTTAATATAATTCCTGTAATAATTAGCAGC